TTAATGTTCCTCTAGACAATAGGAAAGCACACAGGATCACTCCTGAGGAGAAGACAACACAGAAAGAATCGTGTCTTGCAGAATATACCACCTAAGGAGTCTTTCTGCTGTGCCTTTTGCAACCGGACATGTCTATCTCGTATTGGCCTTTTTAGCCACCAGCGCGCTTGGACCAACGTGGGCAGAGCCCTTCCCAAATCTTTACTCGCAAAGCCCAGCCATGATGATGATGATGATGATGAGACAATAGGAAGACTAAGGCTTAAAAAGTTTGAAGGGTTTTTTTGTATAGTTTTTGGTTGTTTTGTGGGATTTTTTATAAAAAGAGGTTCTTTTAGAGTTTATATTTCAATCTCTTCAGCAAACTGCGGTATACTGGAACTTGCTGAAAAGAAATAAATCAGAGTACATTAAAAGCAAGTAAATTACAGTTAATGCAAGAGATTTAGTATCTGTCTGTTTTCTACATCCCTATTGAAAAGAAAGTTTGTATGTCCCTCAAAAATTACCAAATTAGTATTTTTATAATCAGAACTGTGCATTGGACTTTTTCTTCTGTGACAACTCATTACTAACTCATGAACTATTGAGAAGGAAACCCTCCCACAACATAACAAAACAGGAATAATGCAACAAAAAAACAAAACAAAAAAATCTTAAGTACAAACTCACTTTAAAAAGCAAAGTTAATTACACTGCACAAAGCAAATTTCTCAAGAAAGGGTCTCAAGCTTAGAGCAATCACTTTCAAGTCTGAAGTAGTTCTGCACAGTAGAAAGCTTGATTTTGACAATTTCCTATCCTTTTTTTAATATTGTCTGCATAGTCAAAACAGATACAACTGAAAACTCATCACTGCACAGCTCCACAGGCTGCCAGGATTTGTTGTGTTAACTTCGGACAAGGTTCTCTCCCAGTTCTTCCCTAATGTCGGTAGGCTGCGAGGTACCAAGGGAGGGAAAACCACAGAGCAGGCTGATATGAGGAGAAAGCGAAAAGTCTCTTGTGTCCAGACCGCTACCCATGGCGCCTGCTCGCTTTACCTTCCGGGCAGCAGGCTCGTTTCAGGGGATGTCGGTGGAGGATCACAGCCTGTCCGGGCTGCCCAAGGCTGCTGTGCCGCACGGCCACAGCCCGGGCTGCGGAGCTGCCCCGGCGCGGACACCCACGCGCCGCTTTCTGCGAGCCGGTGACCGGGCGACCGAGGCGGCACCCGCCTGCCGCTGGCTCAGCCCTTGGTCCCCTCTCTCAAACTTACGGACGGATCCGGAGGCACCGGGCAGGAGCCAGCCCGGCTCCCCCTGGCACAGACGCCCGCCGCCCCTTTCCCGCCGGCGCGGGGCCGGCGGCGGGAAGGGCGCGCGCGGGGGAGGGCGGGCAGCCAAGAAAAGGAGCGAAACGGCCCCCGCGCGGGCGGGAGCCCGTCCCGCGCGCCCGACGCCGCGCACCGCCGCCCGCGCGCTATTGGCCGGCGGCGCGGCCGGGGCTCCCCCGGCGGCCGCGCCTGATTGGCCGGATTGTAAAGCGATGTCTGAGGGCGCCTGGCGGGAGCGGCACAGCTGCGCGCCCCCCGCGCGCCCCGGCTCCGGCCGCGTGAGGGCGCGGAGCCCGCGGAGACTCCCGGCCCTCCCTCATTCCCCCTCCCTGCCCGATCCCTGCCCGACTGCCCGGGAGCGCAGCCCCGGCTCCGCGCTCCCCTCGCGTCCCGCCGGGGACGGGAGCGGCTCCTCATAAGGGCCGGGCTAAGGGCGCCTTCTCGCTTTGCAGATGGAGGTGAGCGTCCTGGCGCTGCGGGATCTGGCGAGCGCCCGGCCGGGGCGGCGGGGCCGCGCCGAAGCGGCCAGAAGGTGAGCGGGCGGGCGCGGGCACGGGCCGGTCGGTGCCCGGCGCCGCGAGTTCCCTGCACGCGTTGCGCCGGAGCCCCGCGCCGGCCCGGGCAGTGTGCGGAGAGGAGGGAGGGATGGAGGGAAGGAGGGCGGCGGGACCGGCGGGCGAGTGCAGGGCCACGGTCCAGGAGGCTGGGAGATGGCTCGGGCCCTGGCTCGGGCTCCTCTCGCTCCCCTGGGCAGCGTTTGGGGTTTGCCCATCGGACCTACTCTGCCCTGCTGTGCTGGTCTGCACAGCAGCATCTTACCTGTGAGCACTTGGAGCACTGGGGTGTCCAACGCTACCCTAAAGATAAAGGGACAATCCAGTGAAAGAACTCCCAGTCATGCCACCCTTGTCAGTAAGTGAAGTTATTGCACTCTGGCACTAACTCCTAGGGAAACACTTTAGGTTTCACCTAAGTCAAACTCACTAAGTGATCTCAAGCATCCCAATGGCTACCATGTGGAAAAGTGGTGGGCTCTTGTAGAAACTCACCATTCTAAAGGTAAGAACCACCAGCCCTAACTTGACATGGGAATTGTATGGTCCTGTTATTTAGCACCACTTTGGCTGTGCATATGCACATGTCCACTCTGCTTGCCTTCTGGTCTGTATACATAAAGCTGTGTTCTCAAGTTAAGAGGCTGAGTAGGGGCCACTCAGGAGAAACAAGCTCATTGTTCCCCTACTGCCTCACCAGCCAGGAGACAAGATATCTAGTCTTGGGCATAACCTTGCTCAGTAATGTCTCCTGAACTAGATGCAATTCATGACCTGCTGTCCATGCTCAGTCCTCCAAAGATCACGTAGTTCTTGTCAGATTCCACTCCTGTTATCTCAGATTTGTTTGAATTCTTGCTTACATAGTAAGTTCATTAAGCCTTTCCAGTCGTCTTGTAATTGTAAGCTATCTCTGCTTGGATCAAGGTCAATCTCATACTTCCACCAACCGCCCTTGATGGATGGAGATGGTGTAGCATTGCAGCTACTGAAAAAAAAAGGGAGAGAGGGTAAAAGTGTTTCTTACCTTAGTAGGTAATCATGATAGTAGGAAATAAAGATCTGAAAAGGAGTAGACATGCTTCTCATGTAGAGCCACTACTTTTTTCACTGTGATATTTGTGCAAACGTGAAAATTTGAGGTGCTGAAACAGCAGTTTCAGTTGCCCCCACTGCAGTTCCATTACCACTAGTGACAGTGAACAGGAACTTGAGGGGAAGGTAGACTTTCTCCATTCCTTAAGTGTTGATTCACTGCCAAACGTGAAAATTGTGAGAGTATATTGAGTGCCATCATGATGTGAACATGCATTCTAAGAAGTACCATGGCCTCTAAACTGACCCCTAGTTATCATAGTATAGTAAGTTACAACTGGCTGACTGTTAATTGTAAAATGAGATGTATTTATTATATCCTTTTGGGTCATTCATAGATGAACATATGCAGAAGTACTCTTCATCAGTGCTCAGAGAACAGTGCTTTTGATGTGCCAAATTTGTTTCCAGTTTGAATGCTACAAAACTGCTCCTAGTAAAAGCCAGTTTCAATTGTTACTAAAACTTTTTTCTCCTTTCTAGCTAGACTGTACCTGTTAGGATGATTTTTGGCATCACCTATTTAAATATCTATTTCAGCTAGTGAATAGTTAAATTACTTTAAAGAAAAGGCAAAACTTAGGAAAGTTCTTGCAGCAAACCAGTATAACTTAATATTTAATATTAATTGGCTTTTTTTGCCATTTCTGAGTTGGATTTGTTGCAACACAAAATATCCAGCCTCAAAGTTGTCATGTTAGACTTTTAAAACTAATTTTCAAAAAAATGAAGCAGTAATCTTAATCTGAACAGGAAGACTTGCTCAATTTGAGACCAAAAAGCCACAGTTACACTGAAGAGTTAATAACTTCAAACCTGAATTTTAGATTAAAAGCAGTTTACTGTGATTTCAAAGGCTTCATTGCCCATTACAGCAAATTATAACTTCTTCTAGGTTTCTGATGATAGTCTGTTCAGTTTGCTTTCTGTCTCACTTCACTCAAGGTGCATAGTAAATCTAGAAACCGCTGAACAATATAGAGATCCAGAAAACAGTGTCCTGTTTATAGGGTATTAAGAGGAATTAAGTGATATCTGAACTATCTAAACAGAACATTGATTTCCCTGGGCAAGAAGAAACAGTGCAACTTTCTGCATGGGTATTTCTGGAAGTCCTGTTCTGTACCAGGCTTAGGATATTTAGGTCACAGTTTTTGATATCCTGCAAAGAAAGCCAATATGGCATCCTCTTTACTTAATTCCTTGAATCTTCATTAGCTATTTACACTAGTAGGCTAGAGTGAAGTAGTGTTTCTTGTTGCTCAAAAAACAGATCTCAGCTTAAGGATACCACTGATGCTTCCTTCAGTCGGTCCCTTGAAATGAGTTGATCTGTAGTGATAATTCTTGAAATAAGGGAAAGGGGTAAAATTGGATCTAAAGAGGAAATATGAAAAAAGTTTGATTGCAGCTAGGGACTGGAAGGAGTTGAGCTTCATTCAGGGAATGATAAAGATCAGCTGATGAATTAGACTTTTCCTTCTAGCAGCTCTTAGCTGTAGTCAAGGAACAGTTATGAAGATTTTCTTTGTTTCTTTGAGCAGCGGACAGTGCAGATGCAAAACTTTTCTCACTGGCACGTAAAGTTACATCCATTTCAGTTTGACATTTTATGACAGTTTGAGCTGCATCCCCAGCATGGCTTTTAACTAGGGACCTTTCAAACAGAATAGTGTGTTTTCTTGATAAGTGTAATATGAACAGTGCATTATTTCAGTTTTGCTGCGATTTGGTGATTTATGTTTGTGGGCAATGATGTCTTGTAATAACAGTCAGAGTTTAAAAGCCTAATAGGCCACAAATTGCATTCATTGACCTCCGGTTCTGTATTTCAAGGCAGTATCTCATATACACTTCCTGCAGTACAGCAGCATGTAGAATATTTTACCACTTCCAACAAAGGCAGAAGAACTGTGCTAAATATATCTATGAGTCTCAAGGCATGAGTCACTACAATTACCTTCATAAGAACGGTGAAATTGATTGTTGGAATGTTTCCTGTTGTGTCTAAAGAACTTTGTTTTTAATAGGAAAACATATTTGATCGATCCAGGATGGCCCCAAAGACTCCAATTAAGAATGAACCAATTGATCTATCGAAGCAAAAAGGCTGCACGCCGGAAAGAAATCCAATTACACCTGTTAAGATCATTGACAGACCTCAGCCTGATCCCTGGACCCCTACTGCTAACCTGAAGATGCTTGTTAGTGCTGCTAGCCCTGACATGAGGGACAGAGAGAAGAAAAAAGAGCTCTTCAGACCCATAGAAAACAGTGAGCAGAGTGACACACCGGATTCATTACAGGTGAGACTCAGAACACAATTGCCTTATGTTCAGTTAGGAATCAGACCTTCCTTAAATTGTTCCTCAGTTTTCTTCCAAGCAATCCTTTGCTCCCTATGGAAAACTGCAGAATTATAAGACACTCCCAAGGACAGTTGCCTACACAGCAACTGGCTGAGCAGTAGGACATCAAAAGACTAAAAGCAACTGTCTTACTAGTAACTGACCTGAGACCCCTCAAGAGCCTGAATATTACTTAAAAGGACAGTGAAGGAAGTAGAGTTTAAATGTTCCATTTTCCCTAGTACTTCTGAACCACATTGGAAAGTAAATTGCCAGATCAGTTTTAAACAGGCATCATTTTCAAAAATAAATTCAACAATGGAAGAGCATGCTTTTCAAATCTTATACCTTGTCCACAACAACCCTGCAAAGTGGTCAGCTGAAACCTTTCTCCCTCTTTCCACCCCAGCCCCCAGACTAGTGGTCAAGTGTTAGGAAGATTTTTACTTGCCGAGACTTGGGCAATGCAGGTGTTGATCCTTGTCCTCACTTTGGGAAGTCTGTCCCTGGAGAAAAGGACGTCAGGTTGTAGTAGGCATCATTACAGTTTTCTTCCTTCATACTCTTTTTTTGTTGCAACCACTACTTTCTATCTCCTGGATTATTTCCTGTATAATACCCTTCCCTGGTGATTTCAGTGACAGGAAAATAGTTTGAGGGTCCTCCTACTGAGAAGCATCATTTGATAGGCCACAGATCACACTGGAAGTGTAGTTTTACAGCAAGTACAGCGATTACAGTAGTCTAGAGAATTCTGCATGGTCATAACGAAAGATCATTCCTAACATAGCATCCAGTAAGTAAAAAATAGTTGATGTTAAAGATTACTTCATTACCACTCCGAGCTGCTAAGATCACACAACATTTTTGGGGTGACTACTGTAAAGAGTTCAAATATTTTCTAGTTAATAAAACTTACCCTTAATAATCTTCTTTGCTTAGAAAGGTAACTTATAAAAGAAGTAGAAGTGTTACTGTAAGAATACTACTATTTTGATACCATATAAAACTCAAAGAATTCTGTCAGAGCAACAGCCTGCCACAAGGTCACTTAGTCACTAGCAAAGGATGGTTTGAGATCCCATACACAAGGAAATGTGGCCACCATCCTCAGCCTTTCTTTGCCAGAGGGCAAAACTTATTTTCCCGTTTTTGACACAGAAGAAAACCCCAAGGTTACCAGAAAAACCCTCCATCATTCTCATTTTGTGATAAATAAACATACCTCTTCGTACATTCTTGGCATCACAGTTTTGTTGTTTGGGTTTTTTTTTTTTTGTCACTTCAGGGACCATATTCAGACCATCTTACAGAATTCCTTAACATAACAGTTTGACTGAGTTTAAGGTTCAAAGACCAGGTAGTGCCTTTTATAGTCTCTTAGCATTGTACCCCCAACCCTTCCCCAATCACTGGTTTCTTAAAGTGATAAAGTCACTGTGAAGGGCAGCAAAAGCTTTTGAAAGAGGTTTTGCAGGAACTCTTTGATGTCTTCTGCATCTTCTGGTTTATTAGATCCAGAATTGTTTGAGGGAATATTCCTTCTCCTCTCAAAAAGAAGTACTCTTTTCAAGTAGGATCTTACCATCTGCAAGTCTTGGGTTTTTGATATTACTGGTTTTTTTCCTTATACATGACCGTTATTTCATGATAGTGCAGATAAGAGTTTTTCTGTAGATATCTTGCGTGATGAATTAGAAAGAGCTTGCGTGTCACCCAAGTGCTCTGTGCTTGCAAGAAGTCCATGGTTTTTTTCCTTAATAAAAAATCTGAGCTTAAATATTGCTAGCATCTGAAATATGTCTCGCTTGACTATGTCTTGCTTTTAAAGCTCTGCACTAAAGGGTTAACATTTATTTTTTAACAGTATGATATAGTAGACGACACCACGGTTGATGAATTTGAAAAGCAGAGGCCCAGCAGAAAACAGAAAAGCTTAGGACTTTTGTGCCAAAAGTTTCTAGCTCGCTATCCAAATTATCCATTGTCAACAGAGAAAACTACCATTTCTTTGGATGAAGTGGCTTCAGTTCTTGGTATGTATACCTGCAAAAATGGGGTAACTGATCACCTGGGGTAACCCAACAGGTGGGCCTTCCAAAGATCATCTTCTAACAGACTACTTTCAAAATCTGCCTTTCCCATGATCTGGATGCTCTTTTAATCATACTAATCAAGAGCTGGAAATGCCTAAAATTCCTGAGTGTCTTTGCTGCTTGTTAATGCTACCATTTTGAAATCTGCTTTCTGATGGTACTTTTCACTGGACAAATCTTGCCTCCAGCTGTTTACCAACTCTGTTACTTTCTTAAATATTCAATTTATTGAACACTGAAGGACTCAAGAGTTGAAAAACCTCTGAAAGAGGACTTAAAAATGACAAATTTTGTCAAAATGAAACATTTGAGGAAACGCTTGCAAACTACTAGGTGTAGGAGATTATTTGGGTTTACTGCCTGACTTCTGCAATATGTCTGACATTATACCTTCCAAGATCTCATGGTTCTCAAGGTTTTCTTAGGTTTAAATGATGTCCTCTATGACTCTGTTAAGAAAGGCCTTGAAATACTCATTTATTTGCCTTGGTAATGGGAAGTGGAAATAGGATAGAATTCAGATTAGGTAAATAGTTAAATTACTTTTAAAATTAATTATTCTTTGGGATTTTGCAGTTACTCCTTTATGTGTTTGCATGCGATGCTTGTGCTCCAACCTTGTACAGCTGAACATGAATAGTTCTTTATTTTGTGTTGGAAGTGATGTTACCTTGGTTTCCTAAATGGTAGAAACTTTCTTTTAAAACTTATTGTTGGGAATTTTGCCTCCCAGGAGGGGGCGTGTTTGTCCTTCTCCCTTTGTTTTCCCTTCCTTGCTTGCTTGTATCCACTTGCCTCAGTGACAACAAAATTACTCACATGTTGCTGCTCTCTGTGTAAAAAATGATGGCTGTGATACAGCTTTTGCTATGAATATATATTACTTTGTTCACTGAAGAACTATGGAAAGGCCAAAAAGCGGGCTATAAAAATGCTGATGCCTGAAAAACACCAGGATATGTGTAGCACTCTTGTTTTTCCGGAGTATGTTTCAATCCAAGATTTCCGCACTCTAAAAAATACTCATAAATTGTTTCACCTAATTTTCATATGAGGCTGGTAAGTATTATCCATATTCTCCAGAAGGGTAAACAGATGCATCAAGACTTTGCATTCCACAGGGAAGTCTTTCAAAACCTTTCTCCCTAACTAGCTCTTGTTCTGCTCTGCTGGTGTTAACTGTTAGGGCATTTCAGGTTCAGATGATGCCACCAGCTTATAGTGCCCTGTGTTATATATAACAGCCATGCTTCAAACAGCACGGGACATGAGTATTTGGAACAGTGAGCAGAGCCACCAACCTGTTCTTATTCAGTTCCCAGCCTTGCTCACATCAGTCAGGCTGAACTCGAGTTGGGTACATTTCATAGATTTCCCATAGGTGTAGAACCAACCAGCACTAAGGACTCATTTCTGCTGCATTTGGGAACAGTGGGTCATATCCTACACTGCTTTGCACTCTGTGAAGCTTTTAATGCTCCTTTGCTTGGTACTTGCTTAGGAAGTAAAAGTAATTGTGCCCTTGGAAACGCAAGTGGAGGACCACACTCGCACTAGTTCCTATATGAGGGGCTTTTATCTCTACACCATGTCAGTGCCAGGCTCAGACCCTTTACTGCCCTCTGTTCCACACAGGCTTGTGCACAGTTATGTGTCTGAGCTCTGAAGCTCTCTGTCAGGAAGGGCCAAAATGCTCTGAAAACCTCAAGGCAGTCTGGGTAGGTCTTAGTGAGCAAGGCTGGGCAGACTGCAATCAGTTCTAAACACAGTGTAAGTGCTTTAAACTGAAGCCATGGCTGGATGGGAAGTTAAGAAAATAGACAAAGGGCAGCATACAATGAGGCTGACCACACATAAATCAGGTCTTAATTGTGCAAATATGGATGTGTCCAGATGAATAGTGAAAAATGTGTTGTGGACACTCCGTACTAGAGAACAGCCAGTTCTCTATTCACTTCTGCTGAACAGCACATTAAATCTGATGAGCATCTATGTCTTTCCTCCCCAACCTTAAAACAGGAGTTGAACGGAGACGAATTTATGATATAGTGAATGTCCTGGAGTCATTGCACTTGGTTAGCCGTGTGGCCAAGAACCAGTACTGTTGGCATGGCCGGCACAACCTCAGCCAAACTCTGAAAATGCTTCAGGAAGCAGGAGAGCTGCAGTATGGAGAGGTAATGACCTTCCAGCACAAGGAACAGGACTTAGAGTACAAATTTGGAGAACGGAAAAAGGAAACTATTCCTCATTCCCAAGACAGACCATTACTGGACTTTTCAGAACCAGATTGCAGCTCTGGTAAGATAACTGTTGAGTGTGATAATACAGAGACACAAATCTCTTTCTCAGTTTACCATGTGACTTTTTCCCTTGCTTTGCATTTAAATTAAATAATAAAAAATTATCCTTCCCAAAAAAGTGCTGAATTCACCATGGAGGGTGCAGAATTCTTCCTTCTATTTTGTTCCTAACATAAGTCTCAAGACAGATTTTTCCCTCTGTGCGACAAACTGGCAGAACTTCTACTAGATACTCTAGTTCTTTACTCACCTGTACCTGACAGTAAACACTTTATCCTGCCAGAAGGTGCCATCTTCATTTGTCCACTGTTTCATGCTGCCCATGTGACACGTTATGGTTTAAGGTACTTAAACAAAGGACTTTGGTCCATTGGAGTCACAAAATTATAGTGGCACAAAACTGTGTAACAGCATAACATCAGTCTTGGAATCTGACTTTCTAGAAGCTATTTCTGCAATTTTTATTGCCTTTTGAAGAGACACTTCTGTCTGCATTACTCAACTGCCTTTCCAAAGATTTCTGCTTCCTGACAAGTAAATACTTTGCTCCTTTTGCGCGTGAGAAACCTACTTACTAGTTTTCTGGCTGTGATGGATGACATATGCTAAGAGGCTTGGGTATTATTTGTAACACAGCATCTGCAAACAGCAGAAAGGACAAGTCATTGCGGATTATGAGCCAAAAGTTTGTCATGCTGTTCCTTGTCTCCAAGACCAAGATAGTCACTCTGGACATCGCAGCAAAGATACTGATAGAAGAAACCCAGGATACAGTGGACCACAGCAAATTTAAAAGTAAGCTGCCTAATGAGAGGCAAATGAATCAATCAGTGAGTAAAGAAAACAGGGGTATGTTTGGATTGACACCAGGAAGTAACAGCAAGAGCGAGTCATGAATCTTTTGCTGAAGTATGGTTTGGGGTTTTTTAATTGCAAGTGTCAGTTTGTGAAAATAGAGCTTGATATGGGGAAGAGTCACTTTGACAATTATCTCCCAAGTTTTAGCTTCAGAATGAAGGAAATTATTTTTTTTTTGGTTGATTTTTTCTTTCATACTTAAACCCTGTTTCCTGTATTGCTCTGAATGATATTTCAGAACTTATTGAACTATGATGTTTAATTGGATGGAAATAATTCTCTTCTCTGCAGAAATGTGCTACTTCTCCTTTTTACCCCAGAAGTCTTTCACAGCTGGATGGTATTTTGCTTTTCAGTTAGTGGGGATTAGTACCTCGATCCCTTGGACAGCATGGAAAAACTCAGCATTAGTAAATAATTTTTCTAAGATAAAGACTTTTAAGTCTTTAAAGTACTTTTAAAAAAAAATACTTGCACTTCAGTCTTAAAATTCTACCCCAAATATCAGGAGAAATGTGAGGAGTATAACTGAGCAACATGTGGGTATCATAGTCAACTCAAAGATGTTGTTTACTAGAGTCACGGAGATTTTTCTGAATGTGTTACAATTTTTAAAAATTATGGACATGTGTCCTCTTTGGATCAGCTGTGCACTCTTGTGCCTCTTGCCCCCAGCTTGTCTTTACTCCACGTGGAGGCAGCTGCCTTTTCTGGGAAAATTGTTGGTGTAATCATTTCCTAACCTATTTCCATCGAAATGAGGTAGATGAGCTTAAACCTGAGCAGCAAACATATGAAGCAGCAGTGACAATGAGGTGGAAGCTGGCATGGAGGCTTCATAGGAGGTGACCTAAGTGCATCCCAATTTGATTTTACCCACCTCATTTGTGAAAGCTGTGGTGATGTTCTGGAATGAAATTACTTATATACTGTATCCATTGAAACCTGACTGTCTTAACTATTTCTGTGTTTTGTTGTTAGCAAAGGTACGAAGACTGTATGATATTGCCAACGTTCTCACCAGCCTAGGCTTGATCAAGAAAGTTCACGTCACCGAGGAACGAGGACGCAAACCAGCCTTCAAGTGGATTGGGCCTGTGGAATTCTCTGGAAAGACTGGTAACTTGTGTAGCTTGCACTTATTTTCTTTTTGCTTTGACAGGCCCTTCCCAAGTGGTAAAGGTTGCTTTCCGTGTGGAAAGAATGGTTCAGCTTTCATTGTGTACCCTGTGATTATTAACTGCTGCCAGCTCAACATTGACCCTTATTAGACTTTGTGCTCAAGAGCTGGGGCTGTGGAGGGATGTTGAAGGATACTGTGTCTACTGACTTAGATAAATATATGCATAACTGTAGGAATTGTAGAGCAATGGCAGATAATGCCAACGTCTTCAAATCTGGGTCCACAGCTTTTTTGATTTGCAAAATCTCAGTAATTCCATAACAATTATACAGTGAATTATTGTCTTTGTAAGGGGACTTACCAAGGTAGAGCAGGGCTGTTTCTTGGAGATGTCCCCTTGTACAAAAAGTTTGAGTGCAAAGAATGAGGTGGTGGGACAGTGTGTCTCTGTAAACTGATAATTCTTGTCTGGAAGCCAGAGCAAAGGGAAGCCCTTTGGCTTTGATATTTGGGTCAGGCCAGTGCCAGCACCAAGTAAAAGTGAAGGATAATGTTAATGCCATCTTAGTACCCTTTCTCCTCCTGGCCCCTATGGAATGGGTAGGAGGAAAGCCCTTATCTTGTCTACTGGTGCCTACTGAGCTCTAAATCTGTTTCAGTGTTGTGGGGTTTGAGATAGTATGGAGGTTACGTCTTTCCTTAAGCCCAAGTTTGGTAACATGGAAGAAACCTAAATGAGCTGTGTTGCCTGAAGGACTGTTGTACAAAATTATGTCTCTGCAGATGAGCTGAGAGGGCATAGCCCAACATCTGATTCTCTGCCAGGGACAGAGAGAGGAGCCTGTGCCCAGTATCAGATCTGTGCTACTGGAAAGCAAAGGTTTACGCGTCACGCTTCATTTAATGGTGCACAGCCTTTTGAAGGGACCAGAAGGAAGGTCAGCTCTGAGCCCAACAGCCCACATCAAGAGAGGGAAGGTAACTACTAATGAAACATGTTATTTTGTGTCCCACTGTATCTGCTCAAATGACAGCCCACCAATTTAAGACCCTTGAATGGCTGAATCAGTGTAATTAAATATGTGAATTACTCCTGGGAGGTACCTATATTTCTACTGTCCATGTGATGATGAGATTTGTCTTTTAGACCTTCCAGTCAAGTGCCTGAAGTTAGATGAGGTCAATCTGGGCCATATTGTTTTAAATCTGCAGTTGGTTTTCTGGTAAATATTTCTGTTCTCTACTAACTGCAACTATACTACAGTTTCTTATGTTAAAATTTGGCATAGGTAAAGAAAGATTCTTTAGCCACAAAATGCTTGTTTATTTTATGGTTCCTAATGTAATGAATTTTTACAGTAACAATCTAATAATGAATAGTTGTTGAAAAAGATAAGCAATTACAGGGCTTTTCACAGTCCCCTCTTATAGGAAATGATGATGATGAACACCTCTCCAGTGGGACTGAGAGTTCTGAGTGTTTTGCAGGTTCTGGCTCTAGGTGATTAGTGGATGTTATAAAAATGTCTCAGGACTGAAAGATTATAGCAATTATTTTATATGGCCAGTATCAAAATACTCTTGGTAAACTGAATACCTCTTTGTTCTTTCAGACGGTATTGTGAATTCAGATGAATATTGCTCCAAAATGATAAATCTAGCAGCTGTCTGCAGGCAGAAAATAGAGGAAGATGCTAGGTAGGTTGGTCTTAACTCTTGTCCAGTTTCACCTTTGTGCTTGTCATGTTTAGTTTAAGGATAGATTCCAGAGACTGAGATAAAAAAGTTGCCAGACAGTCTCGTTATTACTATTTTAATACTGACAGGTGTCAGCATGGCAGGTTTTCTTGTGATCATTTTATACCCACTTGTACCACCACTGTTGTTTCGCTTCTGTAATTCTTTGTATCATATATGTTTATATAGGTCATCCCTGTGTCCTTTGACCTGTTGTCTATATAGGCTGATGATATGGTTTGAAGTTGGCTCCCTGCCAAGTCTCCAAACCTTACCACCAGAAGTCCCCCCCCCACCCAAACCTCAGGGAGAAGAGGGAGAAAAAAAAACTAAGAAAAACCCGAAACGAGAGAGAGACAACCAAAGTGATATATATAAATATATTTACACTTATATACAATTAAAATATACAATTTCACAAGGGAAAGGGAAGGGAAAGGGAACAAAACTAAAATAAAATATATATATATATCCCAATTAGTGACCCAATATCTAACCACTAAAAGACTTAGCAAAGAGATAGCTCACTGCTCTCCTTGGGACAACTGAGAGTCGCTCCGGAACGATCGCCGGCAACCTCTGTCTCCCAAGGTCGGCAAGGCCTAACCAGGCCTCGCTCCCCAACACAGCAGATTCAACAGCAGGGAACCTGCACCTCCAAGCCACCGGAAGGAAAGAGAGCAAAGGCCTCTCCTCCTTTCTTCTTATAGTCTGGCTTACGTAAAAATCGTAGGGAATACTGGGTAAATCTGGACCCTTCCTTGGTTACAAACTGGTCACCAAGAAAGGCCTAGCCCAAACCACCACAACTGAGCAAATCATGATTCTGTGGAAGAGTGTTTCTGTTTCTCATCTGTCTTCTCTACACCTATCCCTATCTGAATTCATTTGTGAATGATTGACTCTAGTCAAGTGCAGCCAAAAGCATTATTGTTCCACCAAAAGCCAGAAAAGTCTACTTCTGTGTAATTAGGAATAATAAAAAGTGACCCTCTTTGTAAACTGTGTAAAAATAGTGGTTGGGGGGGAATTTTTCCACATTTATGTCCAAAATTGTACCTGTTTGCTTCTAAGGATAAAATAGAGGTTTAATTTTGGGCTAAATGTTTTTCTTCTTTTCATTACTGTTTTTTTTTAGGAATAAAGCTTGTGACACAGAAACTATACTAAATTCAGCAAGGAACTCAAGCATAACCTCACCTTTCTCCCTTATTCCGGTTCCTGGGGACTCTGATTTTTGTGTTAACCCTTTGCCTCAGGCTGTTTTCCCTGTGGTTCATACAGAGGTGCCAAGCCTCTCACTACCAGTTGGCATCAGCAGCCAAGCTCCACATCCTTCCATGCCTGCAACTTCCAAAACAGAAAATGGAAAAGCTACCCTGATTCCCAACCAACCCTTCTTGTGCTTCCCATCTTCATCCCTTTTTATGTTGTGTGGTGGTCTTCTGGAAAATAACTTGAGCGAGACCCTCCCCACTGCAGGAGACAAGGGAGGCAGGAGTGCCGAAGCTCAGGCTGCTGTACCTTCAGCTGTCTGCAAAAAACACAGCTCCCACAAGTGCACATCACCCTCATCACCTGCAGATGATGAAGAGCCACCTGCTAAAAAGCAGACTATGGAGCAGAGTGATCTGCCCCTCTCACTTGTAGTACCCAAGGTAAAGTGAATTTCGTTATCACTTAGGTTTTCTCATAGTGAGGAAAGACTTTTGCCTAAGACAATGTTTTCAGAAGTGAAAACTCAGTACACCACTCTTGTTAGAGATACAAATGCTACCTCCCACATGTTAAGAAAATTGTAAGGGAGCTGTGTCAGGGAGTACAGGCATTAACTGGGAGACATTTTCACATTACCAGGGGAAAATGGACTGTGATTGCTTTCCCTAGTGATGTGATGCTCAGCTGCTCTTTGGAAGCAGTGTCCTGATCGTTGTCTTGAACAAAACAGTGTATCAGAGGGGAAGAAATCAATGTAACTATTCTTCCTCATCTTCCTCTGTTAGCTTGGGCTTTCCCAGACAGCAGCAGCATTGCTTATTCTGCTGAGCTATAGCAGATATTATTTGTACTTTCCCACTACTCTACAGCCTGAGTCCCTCTCTCTCAAGTTTGGTGTTGCCCACAGCAGACTGATGAGAGAAAGATGATGGTGAAGGTGATACGTAGCTGTCTCAGGGTTCTCTTAACTACTGAAAGTAGGGGTCAGGCTCAAGGCTGTATCATATAAACCATTTGAATGTTCAATATAAACCATTTGAAACAAATGTTTTTCCTTATCAATAAAAAAATAATCCCAGAGATCAGGTATTTCTTACCTAGTGTTTCCAAGTACTGAAAGTGAACAAAGGGCACAGGGCTCAGGCATCACTAATATGGCTCTTCAAACCCTCAATCAAAATTTCTAACTTGGTGATTTGCTAATCAAGTTTGTGCTGCTCCTTTGCAGATACTCATTTTATTCTATAGGCAAGGAAGGTGCATGAGAGGCATTGCACTGTGTTTTTTCAGTTTGGACTCTTTGTTTCCACTTTTGTTTTTGCTTAGAAGCCTTTTGAGTCACCCACGGCTGAATCTACCCCAGGAAATGGCTGTCCCTCTGCTGTACATCTAGAAACTTATCGTCTTGACCTCACAAGTCCTGCTGCTCCAGAGGCTGCAAGCAAGGAGTCTTTAGATTGTCAGGAGCAACAAAAACGATCTCAGAACACAGACCCTGATGAACCCCCTCCAGGAAATGAGCATATCTCTAAAGAAAATGCCAATCAACCTTTCCAACCACAATATCTTTATTTTCAGCCTACCACTGGTAAGGACAGCCAAACCTCTGTATCTGTTCACTGAGCAAATATGGTGTCCTACAAATGGGTGAATAAGTCTATATTGGGCACAGAAAACCTGACAGCAGTTCTCTGTAGTAGTTTAATAGCTCTAAACTATCTTGACTTCATGTGAACTGCTGCTTCTCTGAAAAGACGGGCGTTTTTCTCAAACATTAATAGAGATAATTAATGTGTTTTGCATGCTTGAATTATGGGCAGCAAAATGGACACTTATCCAGCATTCAAAACTCGGAGGAGCTGGAAGTCTAGGTTTGGCAGTAAGGTGGCCAAAACAGCAGCAGCATACCCCTGAGTGGATGAATTTAGTCACCTACAAACTTTGTATTGTCTTGTAATATGCATCGTCAAGATAACCCCCCAAAAACCAAGGCACTGCAAGTGTAGCCAATCCTGCTTGTAGGACACTGTAGGGATAGAGGGGAAGCAGCTGAAAATATTGCAAGAGAATTTTGTGTCCACCATGGTTTGTGTCTGTGTTTGTGTGCAGTGAAAGACTGTTTTGTTGGAATAGGACATGTGTGGCAGATTGCCATGACTACTGCATTAGTATTTGATTCCCTTGTGGCACCGAGTGGGGTCTATGGATATGACTTAGATGGAGATGGTCAGTTTGAAAATGCTGATCCTGGTGTTTTGGAAGGTCAGACAAACTGGAAGCCAGAGCAGCTTTTGTTTCAACACAGTATTTCAGCTGTTTTCAGAAAAATTAATGTCTTTCTGGTCTGTCTTTGTGGGTGACTCCCATCTGTTGAGTTTGGTTTAGTTTGAGGTTTCTTTCTTGTTAAAAGCAACGTATATGTTTTCATATATCAGAGGATATGATTCCTGTTAGTGAAAAAAAGAGTTTGCTTAGCCAAGATGTTGCTTTTAATTGAAGTTAGAAGCAGAAAACAGCAAGATGTGTGTGGTTGGTACTTAATATGACCAAAGTAAGTGGATGCAGGTACAGTGAACAAACAGCAGGGGGGGAGATGGAGGAAAGTGAGGAAAAGCAGCTGGACGGAAGAGTCAGGCATTTGTGACAGTTTTCTTGCTTATTTTTTATTATTTTTGCCATAGTTTACTTCCTAGTCAGACTTTTCTTTATTTTCACACCTTTTTCCTATTCTGGGTGAAGTTACAATAATTTACTTCCAATTTGTCAACTGTATTAATGCTTTGTTTTCTCTCTCTTTGGTTTAGGACTAAGCAGTTTTAATTTCCTGTTCTCTGCAAACCAAGCCCCTGGTGCCATAAGCCTGGCTTCGAACCAGTTACCTTCTCTAAGTGTACCCTGTGTCATGGTGCCATCGGCAGCCTTGGGTTCCTTCCCTCTCGTCTGTTCCCCCTCATTCACCAGTCCTGTTTCCCCAGTTCCTGATGGTTCATTCTCAGCTGGTGCCTCCATGAATTGCAGTATGTCCAGCCTGGCATCAACAACCCCTGTTTTCATAAGCACCACAGCAGTGGTCACCCCCAAGGTCTCACCTGCCCCTTCTGTGGATCTACAGCAACCAGCTCACCCTGCTCTGCACCTGAGTCCTGTGCTTACAAGATCTTGCAGTGCTGTTAAACTGGACTCCCCCATGTGTGTGGGGCACCCAGTGACCCTTCTGAAGCTGCAGCAGGTAAGAGTAAAAGGTGTGAGGGAGTGATGATGAAAGACACATGCCAGGTCACAGGGCCTGAAGTCACTTTGTGCCACAGTCTGGTGCTGCTGTGTCAGAGTGATGAGCTGGCACGCTGAGAGCTGGTGTCTTCCACATAGTTTGTGTGTGTCCATCTGTAGCAGTGGCACAGGGCTTGGGACAGTGTTGAAGACATAGCTCAGCATAGCACATCTATGGTTAGTTTCAAAACTCTTACAGGAATTTTAAAATCCCCCAGAAATCTAAGTCAGTGTTTTTTCCCCATTTGACATTATCATTGTGTGTTATGCAATGGCTACAGAAACACATTAGGTGGATAGGAGGATTTTTTGTCAGAATTCAGGAGTCAGTTGGCTGCAACACTTCTTCAGGTAGTAGTGTCCTGGGTTACCCCCTCAGCCCCATTCTGATCTCTCTTCACTACATAATGGAAACGTAACAGCAGCATCAGAACTGAGAGACACCAACTATTCTTGTGGTGTTTGCTGATATTTTTTTATACAGGTATTTTTAAAAATTTTCCATAGAAACAGGCTCTTGGGTAAAAAAATGAGAAATCCAAAAGTGAAGGAGGACTCATTTATCTGAAATATGAGTGACAGAAAACACTCAAGTCACACTGTGTTACCTGGGTCTTTACAACTATTAGCAGTGACATTTTGACACTAATTCAGCTTACATTCTTAAATCTGTGGTTTGTTTTCCTATTGTTTAATGCAGTGACAAGCAGGTTGAACATTTAGAAGCTTTATGAACATTACTTTATTGTTATCTTGTTTGAGCTTTAGAAAAAGGCTGTAATAAGAGACTGGTTGGCAGCCAATCTTATTACAGATACTAACATTAGAGGTTACAGTAGAGTGGCACCTAAAACAGAAGTGGTCAGGGTTTAGAAGACTAATTTTTGATTTCTCTTGATGCTAACAAATAACTGATGCTAACAAATAACAAAAGTGAGTAAAACATCAGGGAAGGGAAAGAGCCATTTAAGCTAAAAGACAAGATTGGCATAAGAATGAATGAATATGAACTAATCATGAAAACATTTAAGTTGGAAATAAGATAGAGGCTTTCATCTTCTAGCAGTGATGTACTGGCATACAGTTCCAGAACAAAAAGGGGCAAAGCCCATAGCTTTTCATGTGGAGCTTCTGAAAGGATGTGTGAGTGGTTCTCTCTAGTAGCAGGGTACAGGGATTAATGTCTCCCAGCTGTCCTCTGTTTGCATGCTTGCATGTAGGCTTTGAGAAAACTGCTGAATCACTTTGGTTTTGTTTCACAAATAGCCTTCATCAACTCCCCTCACTCCCAAGAGCATTCGTCCTGCACATCATGAGGCGTTTTTCAAAACTCCCGGAAGTCTTGGAGACCCTGTGGCTTGGAAGAAAAATGAAGGCAACCAGATCAGAAATGCCAGCTCTGTGCAGAGGAGACTGGAAATCTCTGGTACCAGCCCTGACTAATGCCGCTCTTTGCGAAGAGTGGACAGATTGGCTTAGGACCCTGTATTGATTATAAGAGAACAAGCTCTTACCTGGCAAGAGGAGCACGTTAAAATGTCACCCCTTTCGGCATGCTTCCCCATGTACCCACTGGTTCTGTTAACCATCTTCTTCACAAATCATCCTTGGTACTGAAATCCTTTTACTGAATTGTTCCTTCAGTACTGATTTGAATTCAGATTCTGTGCTTCACACAGCCTTGTGGGCATCAAATTTTATTTGGGATTTTAATCTATTGCTGTGAGGAGATGCAAAGAGATTTTGGAGTCCCCAGGGGTTCTTTATTTGTGGTTTTAAGTGAGATGTCTAGCACTTATCTGGGGTAAGCATTTTATTTGCATGTACTCTACTTACCCTGAGTAAATCTGTGGTGAAAATGATAAACTTCTGCAGTGGTGAGAACAACTGCTTCCTTGGTTCCAATCTGTCAAATCCTACCTCCGCAGTGCAGCCTCTTTGCTATTTATTTTGTATGTTGGAGTGGGATTAGTGCAAAAAAGGATTTTTGCAGCTTCAGAATAACAGATTTTCTCAGGGTAGGATTACTTGAATGTCAGTTGGTTGTTGTACAATTTGCCCAGCACTTGTGGTTAGAAAAACCTAATAATAACACAGTATGATTGAATGTATACATATGAAAAATATTACGACCAAAATAACTGTGAATGTTAACATTTTTATAGTTGTGTTAATGAACTGTTATTAGTCCTTGGGTTGTATTTTTCTTTTACTTCTACTCTAAGCAAAATATGCAAGTTAGATGTAAAGAATATAAAACCTGATTCCTTAAATAGGTTTGACAGAATAATTTGAGTGACAAGCCACTGAGAGGACTGTGCTAAGATTTCATCTCCTGTTTAAATATCTAGTCTAGACTTTATGACCAAGGACCACTGGTAAGTCATTAACCACATGATTAGATTCAGTCTAACCTGAGTCTACTAAGTGCCTACTTAGCTGTCTACTTAAGGGGTATGTGCTTAAGTGCCTAACTCTTCACTTACAGGAATTTCTTAGCATTTGAACTAGTTAATAGAGCATTTGAGCATATTGGGAAGACAAGGGAGATCTTGTCTATCTAAACTATAAAAAGAAGCTGAAAAGAGCAGGAGCCTCAAATTTTGAAATTACCATAAAAAAAATTTAAAAATTATCTTTACGCCTTAGGAGAAGGTAATGAGGAAGAAAAGTCTTAACATTCAGAGTCCTCAAATAATGGATGGTGCTATTAATAATATAGGACATAATTTTAAGAGTTAATGCTCTTATGTTTGGGTATGTTTTCACTCATAGAGCAAGCTGCAATTAAATTTGTGCAGTTTCCTTTTTAAAAGACAGAAAGTGTTGCTTTGACATCACATTATTCTGGATTTTTAGCAAACATAAGGCCAACATGATCAGCTCTCTCTTTGGTACTGGTACTGATTTTCCAAGCGTAGATATGCTGTTGGATGTACTATTTTGAGGTCAGGGGAGGCTAGGACTTTGTTTGAGGATTGGGGATTTGATGAGGGGGGTTTATTTTTATAATGAAATGTATTATGAAAATGAAATTTAAGAAAGAATTTTAGTGAAGCTGAGAGTTTGAGTAATGTGGCCTTTTCTTAGAATAGACCAATAACAGCTTTTTAAGGAGGGTTTGGTTAGCCCTTGTTGAAAGAAAATCTCTAGCAGAATTATCATAGAAAATTTCAGGGGTGGTAAAGAGACATCTTCAGACTGCTAATTTTTTTATATTTTAATGACACTACAGTTATGAAAGTTTACAGTTTTTCCTTCTGGATTATTTCTTCTTAGAAGAAATAATAAAACACCCACTTAGATTAATTATTCTTTGAAAAGGAGTGTGTAATTAGCACAGCGCTGCCCCTGCACTTCTGCTAACATACATGTCTTGCTGTTGGGGCAGGAAACAGGCTGCTAGGGTTCCAGGTGACATGGTGGGTGCTGATTCTCCAAACTTGTCTTTTCTCTTTCCCTCTAGTACAGTGCTGCCTTTTAGTGAAATGGCAGCTGGGTGCAGAGAGGAGCATTAGAGCTAGTGTTGGCTGTGTGCTCCAGTTGAAGCATCATCACCAAAATTGCCTTTCTTTGTCAGTAATGTTACTGTGTGCCATAACTAACCTAATTATACTTGAAAATGCAGGGACTGAAAATGAATTTTCAGTTTCCAATTTCTGCTTCTAGTTTTGGGTTTCCGTAAATACAGCAGGTCTGGAAATGAGGATCGACTCCCTCTTCAATGGGTCATGTTTGGGAAAGCAGATTTTGGGTCTGGGACAAGAAGGATGCTGATATGCTGTCTTGGTTTTGACAATGCAAAATTTTCACTAAAATAGAGTGGGACCACCAAAGCTGTTGGGCAGCAAAGGGATCAAGGCTACTTTCAGTACCTGAGCTGCTGAACTAGACCAGTGAGGGCGAAGAGTTTATGGTCATGAGGGAATGAGTTTACCTTTCCTATCTTTACCTTCACTGAAAGCTAAGAAGTTAAATAAACTAGGAACAACTCATCAGCAAAGTAGCTTTGGAAAAGCAGAATTTGTATTTGCACTGAGGCGAAGTGCGTACCCAGGATGTTCTGCAGGGTTTGTGAAACCTTTCTGTCCCAAGACAGTTGTTGAGGAGGATGAGCATATAACTTATACTTGAATCTATCTGCCACGTTTACATTTCTGATTGTCTTTTGTAAATTGGTGCTATTTCTGTATTTAAAAAGCTGTATTTTTAATGTAAAGCTGCTTCCAGTTTGTTTCTTTGCACTGCTAGTTTAATGTAGATATTAATTTTATTGCTTTTTGTAACTGTTCTTCAGTGATTAGATGTCCTGCTTTTCCTGCTTTCTAGCTATCTTTTTACCTGTCTGCATACAGCTTTACTCCAATCACACTGTCGGGTTGAATATTTTTTTAAACTATCTTTTAGCAAAATATTAAACTTTTACAGAATAAAAAATGGAATTGAAACTGAGTCTGTGATTTCAGTATGGAGGACACCTTTGAAAAGAAATATTCATGCACTATGTGTCCAGGTGAGCAGTGCCTTTTGGATGTGAGCATGGAATGAGTGGCAGAGGACAACAGCTCGCACCAGTGGCTCTAGTGTCCAGCTATTTTATGCAGCATGGGCATGATTCCCACTCTGGCTGTTGCAGGCAGAGACCAGTGCAATGTAAATTGGCTTTTAAAGTCCTTGAGCAGGCCAGGTCAACACCCAGTGGCCCTGGCCCAAAGCCATGTGGAGTGATGCCCAGCCCCACACCATGAGGGCCCATCCCACCACTGCTGTGGGGCCTGTCCCAGACACCCCGTGGCTCTTGCAGGCATCCCTCAGCCTGGCTCTCCAGAGGATGGCAGCAATGCCTGCCCGACTGCTGGCCACAGACACTCAAGAAGCTGACGTTTGCCTGTGCATCCTTATAACCACCAGCTTCTTGTAAAGAACAAGTGAAGAACACAGCCATAGAACTTCTTCCCTTTCTCTTCCCCTTCCTTAATCACACACACACATAAGACATAGCTCAACCCAAACCCGAGTTTGCTCCCAATTAAAATCAATAGCAGGTTCACTTGATTTCAGCAAGCCCAGTACTGCCACCTTACCCCTCCCTGCAATTAAAGAGATGTGAGTTAATGTGTCACCAACATGGCTGCAAAATGCTTGTGACTTGCAACTGGTTGAGATCCTCAAAACTCATTTCTAAAAGAAAAACTCAGCAGCTCACTCAGTATTGTTTTGGGTTTTTTTTTTACCTGTTACTCCAGCAATAATACCTTTCTCTTTCAGTTGATAGAAGAAAAATTATAAGTTTAATAAGATTAAATATTGTATCCGAAGCACTAACAAGCCCTAACCTTGCTCCAGCTCCACTGACAGGACCATGGCCATCGTTTCTTTAGAGAGGAGCAGGGCTGTAGCTTCCAGCAGTTCTTGTCCTCCCTGGTGCATTAAAATGCCCTCTTTTGAAGTAAAAAGTAATTAGAGGGTAACATCAAGCTGTCTGATTTAGTTCTCTCAGTAAAAAGGGAAATTCACAAGCAGTGCCATTGTGAATGAACATCTTAATGCTTCACAGCCTGGGCTGGGCAGCCCAGAGCCATCTGGGAGACAAGTGTAACCCCCTGATGCTGGAAGGTGTTGAATGCTGCCAGAAAACCCAGTCAGAGGCAGAAGCGAAAGGGAAGCCTCCAATGGGTGGCAAGGAAAAGCCTGCTCCCACTGTGTCCAGGGAAGCAGATCTTCACCAGCTACCCTGATCAACAAGGAGGGTTTCCTGAGAGGTGCTTGGGTCATGGCAGTTCTTTCTCCTTTCAGCCCATAGAGTTCTTGAGTAAGGCTCTGTGGCCTGCTTTATAATACGAAATTTAATAGCTTGGGAGGTAAGGGAGTGAAAAGAAAGGCTTCATACACAACCATGCTGACTGCAATCCTTTGAGAAGATCTGTGTGTACAGTAAGCATTAGCATCCAGTTTCTTTCCAAATTCATTTATTGTGCCAGAAATGCAATGAGAATTTGGGATATTTTTTGAAGCACTTTCTCCAAGGAGTCCTGGAGCCATGAAATGAATCCTATGGTGTCAGCATCAGCTTAAGGTCTGAGAGCCTGAAGCTTTCCCCTATTCCTCTTGCAGGGCACGGCAACTTTACTGGTGGGTAGTAAAAGGGAGCCTTGCTTGTTTGCAAAGTGCTGTGACCTCCAAGTCTGATATCACAGGACCTCCTGGGGGACACAAAGTTCTGCCTCAGCTAGAGCTCCTCTATTTTACTGCATTTCCCAAATAACTTGTTCTCATTTTGGCCCTGAACATGAGATGCCAGACTTTACACATTTCCCCCCTCACTGGCTGGATATTTCTCACCCTGGATGTGACAACAGTGTAATTTCATAGATGATATACCAAATCTGAGTGGGAGGGGATCATGAAACCTGTTTTTTTTCCAACAGTTGCTTTCTTGTTTCAAAACTGACAACTGTGAACCAGCAGTTTACAGTCTTACCCCCAAAGCATGGAGTAATAGCAAAGGCACTGTAGTGAAATCAAACAAATCAGCAATATGTGTAAAAGACTGCAACTCGGGAAGCGCCTGTAACAATAGCTAAAATAGGCCAATTTGGATCAGGTTTAATCTTTAGGGAAGAAAAGGGAAACAATTTAAAGCCTAGAAAATAAGATGTAGGTATAAAGATTTCACAATAAATTGTCCAGAAGAAAACATCTCCCTTACTTGGGCAGCCAATTCTTCAGTGCTAAGAAAAATGCTTTGCCTCTTCACAGTCTCTACATCTCACTGACAACCAACCAACATGTGCTTTAATCACTCTACACCCCTTCAAACTCTTGATTAACTGGTAACAATTAGTTCTGTGCCTGAAATGCACCAGGAATTTAATAAATGTAAGATAGAAGATGTTAGAGAGGAGTTGATTGGAGCTCTGCTGTCAGGCTTGCCTGGAGCAATGACAAAATCACCCATTGGCACCTCACCTACATTAGGGTTCCCATCATTATTGCACTGAAACTAGGACTTTTGCAAGATGTTGGTTAAAAATGTTTCTACAGTCACTCTAGGTCTAAGTGGCAAATACTCAAACACTTGTATTCTTCTCTGCCTTTATACTAACAAAATGTCATTGGCTCCAGTGGACTCACTCTTGATTTACTTTGGCTTAAAGGGGAGGAGGATCAGTCTCCTGGTTCTGGGGAACCA